CAGGGTGGAGGAAGGTGTCTCTCCCACAACATCCTCAGGGATGAGTCTCCCAACCCCTACAGCAGCAGTCACATCACAAAGGCAACTTGCCTTTTTCATCCCTCCTCACATGGAGCCAGATAATTCACCCTCCCAGGAGAAAAGTCATTCCCCTCCTCCCTGCTCCCACAGATGTCCTCTCACAGCCGAGAGCAGATGCCCATGGCCACCTCAGTGCTGTGGTAATGAGGCTCCTGGGAGGGGGTTTCCCAGGGCACCTTATGCAGTCAGGCCATTTCCAGAGCAAACAGCCCCCACAGAAAACAGAAAAGCCCCACTGGCATTTTCCCAAGAAGTTTGGGCAGGAATTTCACAGTCCTGCTACTTGCCCTGCCCCGTCTCTTGGAAAGCACAGTGCTCCTGATGTTTGTGATGCTCCCAGTCTCAGGCCAGCCCTGCTGAGTCCATAACCTTGGCGTGGATTTCACACCTCTTGCTGCTCCTCTCGTTGTTGCACAGGGGCAGAACCCACCACCTCTGAGTTCACTGTCATCATGCACGGCCCCAAGCTGAAGACCATCGAGGGCATCGTGATGGCTGCTGACAGCGCCCGATCCTTCTCGCCCCTGGAGAAGTTTGGGCAGAACTTTTTGGAGAAGCTGATAGGGATCGAGGTGCCCCACAAACTGCTGGAGCGAGTCACCTTTGTGGACACCCCGGGCATCATCGAAAACCGCAAGCAGCAAGAACGAGGTGGGGGTTCACTGGGTTCATCTGGGGGAGCCCAGAAAAGATGCCATAATGATCTGAGGTGACAAAGGTGGCTGAAGCACAATGGGGAAGAGCCCTGGGCCACAAAAGGGGTCTTGTACTGGAGGGGATGGTGATGTCTGTATGCCCATGGCTGTGGCAGCAGCAGTTCAGACCTAGGGAGCATACACAGAGCAGACATTTCTGCTGTTATTTCCTCAGAACTCCTTGGGCTGCTGATTGTCCACCTCAGCTGACCGGTTAATGCCCTGTTTGTCACCCTTGGAGCCAGGCTTGGCCAACGACTGGTGCTCCAGAGGAGCCCAGACAAGCACCAGTCTGTTCCCAGAGCACCTGGGGTGCCAGGACAGATCAGCAGTGCTCCTTGACCTGGATATCTGCAATGATGTGGCTGATGAGCGTGTCCAGAGAAGGGAACAGAGCTGGGGAAGGGTCTGGAGCGCAAGTCTGATGAGGAGTAGCTGGTGGAGCTGGGGGGGTTCAACCTGGAGAAAAGGAGGCTCAGGGGGGACCTTCTTGCTCCGCAGCCCTCTGACAGGAGGGGGGAGCCAGGTGGAGATCAGGCTCTGCTCCCAGGGAACAAGGGACAGGACAATGGCCTCAAGTTGTGCCAGGGGAGGTTTAGGTTGGCTATTTGGAAAATTTCTTCGCTGAAGGGGTAGTCAGGCACTGGCACAGGCTGCCCAGGGTGGTGGCATAGTTACCACCCTTGGAGGGATTTAAAAGCTATGTGAATGTGGCACTTGGGGACATGGGTTAGTGGTGGCCTTGGCAGCGCTGGGGGAATGGCTGGACTTGATGATCTCAGAGAGCTTTTCCAGTCTTAAGGATTCTGTGATCCTGTGATTCAATATCTGCTCACAGGAGCAGCAGGAACCTGTGGCCTAGAGCAGGGAGAAAGATTTCAAGGGGGAGCTGAGGGAGACAGGTAGTCACAGCCTCAGACATCCAGAGATGGATTTTTACATCTCTGAAGTGTTTTAGCACATGAGAAACAGTTTCTAGGCTGCAGGAGAAGTCCGCTGGGCCTCACGCCCCATCCAACCTGAATGAGGCACAAGGCACGACAGGCTCGAGGTTTATCTATCTCTTGATGAAGGGACTCACCCTGTGCCGGCCACTACTGCTGGACTTCTCTCTTTCCTCTCCTAAAGGTTACCCGTTCAACGACGTGTGCCAGTGGTTCATTGACAGAGCCGATCTCATCTTCGTTGTCTTTGACCCCACGAAGCTGGACGTGGGCTTGGAGCTGGAGATGCTGTTTCGCCAGCTGAAGGGCCGCGAGTCCCAGATCCGAATCATCCTGAACAAAGCCGACAGCCTGGCCACCCAGGAGCTGATGAGAGTCTACGGCGCCTTATTCTGGAGCCTGGCTCCTCTCATCAACGTCACAGAGCCACCCAGGGTGTACGTTAGCTCCTTCTGGCCCCACGACTACCACCCGGAAACCCACAGAGACCTGTTTCTCAAGGAAGAGATATCGCTCCTGGAGGATCTCAACCAGGTGATTGAGAACAGGATGGAAAACAAGATCGCCTTCATCCGCCAGCACGCCATCCGGGTGCGCATCCACGCCCTCCTGGTCGATCGCTACCTACAGACCTACAAGGACAAAATGACCTTCTTTAGCGATGGAGAACTGGTGTTCAGGGACATTGTGGAAGATCCTGACAGGTACTTTATCTTTAAGTCCATTCTGGCAAAGACCAATGTCAGCAAATTTGACCTCCCCAACCGTGAGGCTTACAAGGACTTCTTTGGCATCAACCCCATCACCAGTTTTAAGCTGCTGTCTCAGCAGTGTTCCTACATGGGAGGGTGTTTCCTGGAGAAGATTGAGAAGGCCATCACCCGCGAACTTCCCGATCTCTTGGGAAGCATCGGCTTGGGGAAGAAGCCCAACGTCCTCTCCTGCGACGTCACTGGCTGTGGTGAAACCCCAAAGAATCGCTACAGGAAACCCTAAGGTGATCCATAACCCAACTGTCCACATGTTCCTACTGGTGAATGAGCTTATGTCTTATCTGTCCAAAAAGCCATGGTTTGTTAACCCTTTGAGTGCCGCGCTGGCAAAGGCTGCCGTACGATGAGGACTTTGAGTCGTTGACCTCGATGGCAGGGGAAGATGGGTGGGCATAAGAAAGAGAATAAAAACTGTGAATTCCTGACATTTTACCTTTGTTCTTTCGAGTAGAAGGCAATGTTTAAGCTGTAAGTATGAGCAATGCACGGGGAGCTAGAACAGCAGCTGCTTTTCCACTGATGCCAAGAGTGCGTGAAGAGGAATTTCAACCTCTGCATCCCTGAAGACACGAGGGAGCGAGCACGAGGGCACGGCATGAGAGCACAGGGGAGAGCAGTGACACACTAACCCAGGCACCACCAGGAGCCCCAGGACAAAGTGCTGCTCAAGGAAAGAGAGGCCAGGACCCAGCTGTGGTTTTCTCGCACAAACACGCTACAAATCTCGGCAAATATTGATCTTGTTTTTCTTTCCAAGACTTCTAGGTCACCTGGTGAGTTCTCCTTCCATTTAACAGCTGAGCTGATCCTCTGCAGCCTTCACCTGGGCGTTCACCTTAAGGAGGGGCGTTTGCAGGGGTGTTTTTAGCTCCAGACAAGTAACCATGATGGGATTTGGAAGTCCATGTCAGAGGAGGAAGTGGGTTGGAAAGGAGCGGCCAGCACTTGCTGAGCTGTGCTGGAGGAGGAGCAGATGGTCCCACAAGGAGCTGTGAGCAGGGTTTTATTCCCCTGTGTCAGCACAGGAGAGGGCACTTTGTGCCTGTGAGTGTCATTAACTCAAAATCCACACTGGCAAGTCCTACCTGCGGACCAGCAGGGCTCTGAGGGTGAGGATTTGGCAGTTTGACCTTGTTCAAGTCCATGCTGATGATTTCTCAGTCAGACCCCCATGTTTTTGTGCTCCACAGAGGGAGGCAGGAACAGGGGGTCACTATCTGTGAAGTGAAAAAGGTCACATCCCTTTTGCCCACCTGCTGCTCTGCCCTCCCCAGGACAGTCCAGGCAGGTTTCTGGGGCTTGTTTTCCAAACTCCTCCCATTTTAGCCATTTGTTGGCTCATTTCTGAGCATCGCTGCTCAGTCCTGAAGGAGTATTGCTTTGGAAGCACCCGAGCAGGGTGAGGTTCCCCATGGACAGCTGACCTTGAAACCTGGCCCTCATGGACAGCACAGCTGGCTGCCGACCCGAGCCCAAACCAACCAGGAGGTAGATTTTTTTGTCCTGGATGGAGACTGGCACCTTCAAGCGCACCCTGGACCTGCTGAACATCCTTTGTCCTTCCTCCTGCCAAACGTCCATGGTGAAACCTCTGGAGCAGAAGGACTTACCTTTGATAAGAAACAAAAGGACATGGAGGTGCTGGCTGAGGCAAGAAAAAGGCAAAAGGAATGAAAGAGGGAAAGAGAAAGCTGGGAATGGAAGGCTGTGTTGTGATGGGAAGGGTGTGAAGGGCAGCACCCCACATCTCCATGTGTGCAGCGGGATGTGAGCTAAGGCAGGAGAACTGTGGGAGCTCCACATTCCCCATGTGCTGCGAAGAAAAGGTCCCCTTGAGTCCAGGTGAGTTTGGGGGGACGCTGCCCCAGGGACTTCCACACTCCTGACCTCTGCTTTGAGGTAGGACTTTACATTTGAACTAATAAAGCCAAGATCCAGATCTACGTCCAAGCACAGGAAGGGACCCGGCTCAGGCAGAGGGATTTTGCCTGCAGTGCAGAGGGACTGGAGGTGCAAGGGAAGGCGAGCAGAATGTCAGAGAGAGCAGCAGCCAGAGCAGCCTGGAGAGAAATGATGTGCTCATGAGTCAGTGCATGAGCTCAAAGTGATGTTTCAAACCTGCCCAAGCGCTGCTGCCCCTCCACTGCTGTTCCTTCTCTCTTGTACATGATCCCATTGCTCATCGGTGTCCCTCTCCATCTCACTGCTCACTCTCCTCCACTTGGCTCTGCATGGTTTTCTCAAGAGGTAATGGAATTGAAACACTGACAGAAACAGGCTAATGCTGCCACTGTTCCTGCTGTTGCACTGTGTGTCACTGTCACATTGAGCAAAGGCCATCAAACATTTCTATTTGCGAGGTTTGTATCGCACCATCTCTGTCCTTGTTGCCCTGTCCCCCTAAAGCCCGTGGGGTAGCCAGGGAAAGACCCCCCACCCCACAAGAAGGATTGCCCCTGAAGGCACTGTTGCTCTGTTCTCAGGCTGCTCCCATTGTTCTCCCCGTCCTTTCTCTGGTTTCCTTTTCTCTTGCTTTATTTTCCAGCCCTCATCGCCTCTTCTCCTCCCTTCCTCTCCCTTCGGCACCTGCATGCCCCGTGCAAAGCCCTGTGCCCATGTCTTGGATGTGGCTCCTCTGTGACAGCAAAAACCTTTTCCCCCCTCTGATATGGTGTGCTTGGGTTCTCTTTCTGAATCAGTGGCTTCAGCAGTGGTGGTCTGTTCCCTGCTCCCCGCCACGCACGATGACTCTGCTCCGTGCTGGCTCGGGGAGATGACACCACTGCGATGCTTCCTCTCCCATGGCTCCAAGTGGCTGTCAGTCCCAAGAGGATTGCAGTTCCCAGCCCAGCTCTTGCTGAGCTTTCTTAGGAGATCTCTGGGAATGTGGGAGTGGAAATGGGGAGCAAGGAGGCCTTTTCATTCTGCGAAGAAACCCCAAGCACCCACAGCACTGGGGTGGTGAGCGTCTCACCCAAGGGCACTGCGGGAGGGAGGGAGCTGGAACACAGGCCTGTGTAGATGCCCATGATCGTGTGCATTGGGATAAAACTGTCAGCTTGAACATCAGCCTGTCTAATAAAACCTGGTATTTTCCAAACACATTCCCTGGAGATGCTTGTTTTTTTTCTCCTGCTGGTGTGGGAGTGAGCGCCAAGGCTGGGGAGGCTGAGGGGGTGCAGCTGCAGGGAGCAAGGCAGGAAGTCCCATCTCCTTCCCTGAACCCCAGCCTTATCCCCATCCCTTGCACGGGATCTGCCAGCCATGCCTCAGTCATTTGGCTGCTTTTCCAACCTGGCTTCCTGTGCCTTAGGCCCAACAGGCAAAGCAAACCCCAGCTCCTTTGCTTTGTGCCTCAGGGCAGAGTGATCCTCCCTGGTGGACAGATCCTTGCTCCAATCCGCCCCAGGAGATGCTGGCTGGGGACCAGGGCAGAAGGAAGGGGTCAGGGACCATGGAGGGAAACAGAGGATGGGGTCCACAGCAGAGGGCAGGGGTTGGGAACCATGGAGGAAGGCAGGGATTTGGGGATCATGAAGGAGGGTGGAGGGTTGGGGACCATGGGGGAGGACAAGAGGTCGCGGAGCATGGAGGAGGACAGGGATTTGGGGACCATGGAAGAGGGCAGGGATTTGGGGACCATGGAGGAGGGCAGGGGTGGGGGACCACAGAGAACAGCAGGGGCTCTCACCAACCACCCAGCGAGGGGCAGAGGGAGGGACCCTCCCACCGGCAACTGGGGCTCATGTGAACTGCTCATTACAACCCTATTCCTGGCCTGTCCGTCTGTCTTTCCAACTATCTGTCTCGCTCACTAATCAAAGAAGACTGTTCCAAGAAAGCTGGAAGAAGAGAAGGAATGTCTCACTTGGCTTCCTTCGGAAAGTCTGGAAAAACCGTGGCATCTCGATGTGCGTGAAGGTCTGCCTGGCGAGGAGCACATTTTCCTTCCAAAGCTGCTGCAAAGATGTGAATCATGAGCCGGTAACGCTGCTGGCAGAGCGCACAGCAATCCCACTGAGACGTGGGGCTGGCAGCGGCCCCGCTGTAATCTCTTGGACGGAAAAGACAAACATTTGTCATCGTGACACTGCTGGGGGAGAGCTGCTGGTGCTGCCGAGAGCCCCGCGGTGGCCGGATTCTGCCTGTGCTCAGGGTGCTCCCATCAAGGGCAGCGTCCAGCAGGTTTTCCAAAGGTCTCCAAAGCTCCTCAAGCACCAGCCAAGGGGTTTACAGTCCCTTTTGGTTGTCCTCCACAACATCAACCCCTCGGTGGCATCTCTGCATTTCAGGGATGAAAATAACCCGTATCCAATCATGAGAAAAGGAGCAAAACCCTTTGGAAAGGTCTGCTGGGAGCTGGAGGCAGCCCTGGTGCTCTGCCTGCTGCATGCTGGAGGTGACCCTGTGCCACCATCCCCATCCAGCCTGACCCCTGCTGTCCCCATGCACTCAAGGCTGGGGCCAACCCCCACCCAAAATGTCCCATGCTGCAATTGCAAGACCCCAGTAGCCGTGGCATGTTTATGAAGCCACTCCCTCCCTCCCCAGATGGTCACAGATATCTGCCTACCTGGTTGTCTACCCCAGAGCTGGGGCTGCCACCCTCCCTGCTGGCAGCAGATGCCTGAACACAGCTCCCAGAGCAAACAAAACACCCTTTCCATGCAAGTCCCTCCTTTTTGGGACTTTGGAGCTTTGTGCAGCACCGAGAACTCCCTGGCTCGCCCTGACCCCAGCCCTCCAGCATCCCTCCCAAGACAGAGGCTGGGCTCAGTTCCACCACCACTTCCCTGCTCAGAGTCAGAAGAGTTGCAACACTGAGCGTGGATGTGTAGAGTGTGCCTTCAGGACATGTCCCACCTCAAACCAGAGCACTGCAGCCAGTTTGTGTCTGCAGAGAGCCCCAAAATCAACACATTTTCCCCAAGATGTGTATGTGCAGGACACTGAACCAGGGAGGTAAAATCAGGGAGGTAAATCAGTAAAAGCTGTGTCTTGAAGAACGTGCAGGGGCTTTGGACCCCCTGCCCTCCTCCGTGATACCCACAGAAATGTGGAATCATTACTGTTGGAAAAGCTCTCTAAGATCATCAAGTCCAACAGTTCTCCCAGCACTCCCAAAGCCACCACTACACCGTGTCCCCAAGTGCCACACCCACACATCTCCACTGGAGGAGGATTTGCACACCCAAAATTGGGGTTTGCATGTGACATCAGCGCTTCCCAGAGGAGACAGGGTGAGGGATGGGGAGCGAGCCCACTTCTGGGGCTGCCTGCCTTGGGAAGAGCCTTGGGCTGGGGAACAGGGATGTCCCAAAGGATTGCCTGCTTGAAGGAGATGGGTAAAGCCTGGACATTGGCCCCAAGGGGTCACCATTTGCTTTAGTACACCTGGGTGACATGCAGGGCAAGAGGAGAGGAGCCAGGGCAGCCCAGAGCCCTGGGAAGGGGATTTTCATCCCAGGAAGGGGATTTTTAACCCATGGAGTGTCCAGAATATGTCATCCCTGCAAAATGGGGGGATGGAGGGCTGGTGAGCCAGGGCCTGGAGTGTCCCTCAAAGTGGACAAGAGGCCAGAGGGATGGCAGGGTGCTGACACGCTGCTGTCACCAGCCAGGAGCTGGGGCAGCCAGTGAATTCCTGTCAGTTATTATATGGATATCCAGCATTCCCACATGGGTTAGTGCATTCAGCTGCTCCTTCTCTAACACACTCATTAGTGGTCATTCAACTACAGGATGCAAAAACGAGCTGTTCCAAAACACTCCTGTACCTATGGAAAACACGTAATGAGCAATCAGTGCTGCTAATGAGAGAGGGAGTTGTGGTACCAATAACAAGAGAAATCCACCAGTATCCCAGCAATCCTGCCATCCACCCTAACCCAGCCGGCCTGCTGTGACCTGGAATCATCCCAGCAGCCTTCTGGGGCAGAGGGAGAGAAAATAGGCATGTGGGTGAGTGAGCTGGTGGTCAGTGGCCATTTCCTACACCTGGGAGCGACATGGGGTGTCCAAACCCACCCATATTCCCAGCAAAGGCTGCCAGAGGCAATGGGAAGTGAGTGCCAGTGCCACCACCACTTCAGCTCCGGATCGAAATTCAGCAGCACAGGAAAGCCCTTTGCTTCTTTGCAACTCTCCAGTGCCACTGGCCTGGAGATGGGAGTTAATGGGCTGAACATGAGAACCAAGTGCTCCCGGGGCAGGGAACGCTGCCGGCTCCTTCCCAGTAGCTGTGATTAATTGTTGTTAATATTAAATTCAGCACTTTTATGCAGGACGCAGAAGTGCTTAGGCAGAAGCCCAGCTCCTGTCCTACCTGTCATTAAAAACACTGCAATTAAGCTCTAGTGGAAGGAAATACAAGTAAACGCATCCTCTGTAAGTGGCTTCAGCTTTCCATGGACATCTGTGTCCCCCGTTTCCTCTTCGGCTGGCTGAGCCGCTTCTGTTTTCCCTCTTCCCATGACCCATATGTTGCTTTTTCTCCTTAATCCTGCCCACAGCTCCCAACAGTGAGGGCCAGAGCAGGGAGGAAAGGAGCCTCAGCTGCCTCTGACCCATTGCCACTGATGGAAAGTTCATGTCAGCTGCAGCTGCAGCCTCAGCCCTGGCCAAAATCCAGGCTGTGCACTGGGTACCTGCTCACCTAGTTGGACCCCAATGCTGCTTTTGCTCCTTTCCATGGGCAGAAATCCAAACGCTTGGTGCTTTCTGTGTGATGAAGGGGTGCCATTGCCCCAGTAACAAACTATTTCCACCTTGCAGTGGGTCTGGATGGGATTTTCAGCAGCTGAGACAGGTCAGCCCGAGCCAGAGGACACCAAGAGGAGCTGTGGTGGGGGGAGCTGAAGGGAGACCCTCTTCTGCCTCTCCCACAAGACTGATGGAATTGCAAAGTGACCAGAAGCTGTGGCTGAAATTTAGGTAATGCCAAGAGAAGCAGGTGGGAGTGACAACAATGAAAAGCCAGGTATATCAGGTCATGGTGTGACCTGTGTTGCTGTTCCTTACTCAGAAGGTCCTTAAAGCCCAGACATTGCCTGGGGAAAGGCAAAACATCCCAGGTAAGACTCGGGGCAAGGGAGCTGGAGATACAAATGGGCAGCAAGGAAAAATAAACCCTGTGTCAAGGACAATACTGGTGCCAGGAATAATACACTGAAAATTTTGAACGTGGTGGGATCATGCGAAAGGTGCCCAGAGCTGTGAAGAATGTGTGTAGAATCACAGAGGGTCAGGAGGGATGGGGGGGGGCACTAGGCCTGCCTAAATTTGGGGTAGATCCGGGGCTCTGGCAGCCACAGAGCCCGGCCAGCTGAGGACAGGGCAGGTGGGGATGGCCGAGCAGCGGGATGGAATGTGAGGATTGCAGGAATGCCCCACGCTGCAAAGAGCGATGACAACAGTGCCCACACCGCGGCTCTGGCCACGGCCCCGGGCTCTGCCGAGGAGGGAAAGGTTTCTCCAGGACCACAGGGACACGGGGGGTTTTCCCTTTTGCTTGCAAACATCGTCGTCACGTATATAAACAGAAAACGCCAAGATGTGAGTCAGCACAAGGGCAGTTTGGCTCCTGCAAGAACAGCCTGAGAAATGGTGGAAAGAGAGTCTGAAGGGGAGGTTCACTCTTGTTTCAGAGGTTTCAACAAGTAGTTTCATGACAGGTTCAATATGCACCCGTGATATACAAGGAAAAATAGTTTTAAAAATTTAAAAAAACTTATAAAACAATTTTTTTTTCAATTAGTTGCTTCCTATTGATGAGGGGATACCTGTCAGTCTCAGCGAGTGGCCAAACATACTTTTAGCTTTGACATACATCAGAGAGCAGAAAGAAATGCAGGCAGTGTCTTCAGGTGAGCAGTAGATTCAAATCATATAAAGGTGGTGGGGTTTTTTAACAGCTGCTGAAAAAGTTTCATGGCCCAGTGCTGTGATCCAGCACAACAAAAGGTCCTATTCACACAGGGAGCGGATCTGAGACTGCCTCAGGAATCTTAATTCCTGAATTTCTCAGCTTTTTTTTTCTTCAAACATAAAGGATCCCAATGAACCAATTAAGGAGATCTTGACATGATGGTTTGCTATAGTTTGG